GGTAGGTTATTAAGGCAATTGAAACAGAAAGATTCTTTACCGACACAGCTTCGCTTACTCTTTGCATGGTGGTAGAAGCTGCTGAATGATTCAGCATTCAGTGACCTCTGGCGATCAAGAAAACACTTCAAAAAATTCATTTCTTCACTTACACTTTTCTTGCTATCTCATGTTGCAAAAATGTTTTGTTTCTTTCCGTAAATTCACCAGCGAAAGGGCGAATAAACGCGCGGTGATTCTCCCATGTCTAATAAAGATCGAGTTATTATCCTTTAGAAAATCTTCCATTGAGATGTCTCTTCCCTTAGGCAGTTAGTATATTTTCTCATATTCTGATAAATTCAATTTGAGTTCTTTTTAGCAATCAAGCTTATAATAAATGTAATTTTTTAAAATTATATTTCCCTCAAAGTGAGTTTTTTTTAAATTTCATTGTAATTTCTTTAATTATCTTAAAAACAAAGACTGGATGCATTTTTCTAAATCTCATATTTTCTCACATTTGGATTTTCATATATCACAGCATAAATCTTTCGGATAAGCAAGTCTTTTCGGAAGCGCTTGTCAAAGATTTGAAAAAAATCATTATACCACCCAAATCCTATCATACACTAAAACAGGAAGGATTCAAAAAGTTAAAATTATTTTTGGACAGATATTATAGAACTGAAGAAAACTGTGATTCTTCGGCTTGTGATGCTTTCTGAACGAAAACAAATAGTAATTAAAGGCATTCACCAGACACCTTTAAAGGCGTCCGAATTTTTAAATGTGTTAAGGCTTATCTGGAGCAAAAAAAGGTGAACTTTATTGCAACATTTGGCACTGAATTTGAAATAAAAAGTAATGAAATAAAATATTATTTCACGGTTTCTCATCATTTAAATATGACGGTTGAAAAGTAGAGTACGCGCTTGATGAAGCGGAACTTAAAATTAGTATATAAATGCTGTCATTAAACAGAAATTTATTGTCACTGGAACATAGCTGTAAACAATCATAATCACCGATATGATGAAGGCTGTGGTAAGATTTATATTTTGTACTGTTATTTCTATATCCATACGAATGGAAATGTCAAATATTAATTTATAATTGTTTAATTGTTTTGTGTACAAGGAATATCTTATACTCTTATAACCATTTTAACACATTTGAATAGACTGAGTTATAAAATGTAATGCTGTTAAAAAACTAGAATGATATTCTGAAAAATTATTGATAATTAGCCGAAACCTGAAAAACTGAAATCTTGCAAATATAAGTCTCAGAAGTTTTCCTTGAAGCTATTGTATACGAATCATCAATAAATGCAATAATTAGGGCTTTTAGTTTTTCAGAAAAATAGTAATGCCCAGTAGTGTTTTATTTTTTACGATAAAAAACATGCTTTTGACTCATAAATAAAATGTTATAATTACTAATTCATAATGTTTTGATTCTTATAAATAGGGCCAAGAAAAAAATAAATTTTAATACTGAATGTACTTTTTATCACCATAATTGCATATTTTCAGTGACTCACAAAAATTTCCTTTTGTTAGGTTCTCCTTCTTTTGGCCCTGATAACAGTGGCCTGTAGCTCCCACGTTGATGTTATTCACCACCACAGTAAACATGGGCATGGATATGGAATCAGTAGCAGATATTTCAAAAAGGGTCAAGGACATGGGTATGGAGGCTACTTGCTTGGCTATGGAAATCAAGGACTTGGGCACGGCGTTCACAAAAGTTATGGTCTTGGTTACGGAGGCTATGGGTTAGAAGGATACGGTGATTCTGGGTTAGGATATGACAATTACGACTTGGGATATGGAAATTATGGACTAGGACATGGTGATTATGGTCTTGGCTATAGAGGGCTTGGACTAGGACATGGTGATTATGGTCTTGGCTATAGAGGCGTTGGACTAGGAGGATATGGCGTTTATAACGATGAATATGCAGGTAGTCTCGGATATTACGGGTCCAGTGGATTGTGATTAAAAGGGGATTTTTTAGATGGTAAACATTTCTTATTTTATATATTTTTTATTTGTATTTCGATTTTTTTTTTTTTTTTTTTTTTTTGTCGTTTACTTTAACAGAAATTCAAATATTTTAAAATTAAATTTGGAATAGTTTATTTTATAACTATTATATTTGTAGTTATTTTAACAAATAATATTGAGATAATTTAATACATAAATGCATATATAAATGCTATATTTATCTTTGAAACATGAAAATAAGATTAAATTTAACATTACATTTTGTTGGTTTATAGATTTATAAAAATATGTATGCCTGTGTTGTAATCAAAGTATTACAATCTATGGATCTATAAATTAATTTAATTCTGAAATCTTCAGTAAGTAAGCTGTTCTGTAAAGATTTTTGTGTCTCTGTTTTGTTTAATATAAGGCTTGGTTTTATAATCAGGGTCATAAAAATTAGGAATTAAGAAACATTTGAATATTTGTAACTTGCCTTTCAGTTGCATGCTTTTCGTAAAATGAAGCTATTTCGAAATACATTCCTCTTACATATCAAAAATTTCTTTAAAATGTTTAAATTTATTGAGATAATGAAAAAATAACCCAAAATTTTATTTATGAAGGAAAAAAAAAGCTTAACTTTTTACAAAAGGAGTCTCATTTGAATAATATTCTTCCAGCAGAAACTACACTTATTATTATTTAAATTGAATAAATTAAAAACAGCGTTATGTTTAATTTAATATATTTGCATATTTATATCCTTTTAAAAAGTTCGATGGTAAATTTTCAATGAGTAAGCAAGAATCACCGTCCACACAACACGTTTTTACTACTTTCACAATGATGTCTGTGTTTATATGGTGAATATTTTTCGTCCATGTTAACTTTTATACCACACTTCTAAAAAATTTATGTTTTAAGTTTTATGCATTTATATAAAGAGTGTCGTTAAATTTGGGTAAAAGTGGGCAACCGGAAGTGGTACTCTGGTTGAAACCATAACAGTTTTTAATGTAAAACTATATTAAATTACAGCCCAAAACTTTTCAATTTCAGTTTTTTAGACTTTATATCAAAGGGAACAATACATTAGATTTGGGCTAAAATAAATAAGTGATACTTTACTTGAAGCTCTGAACAGATTTTTGTAAATGAATTATGGTATTATGATGGAATATAAAACTCAAAAATCAGTTTTAACACATGGTCAATTGTATCTAATAAAACGTAAACTAAAATATCCTATTACTGTCCTTTATATTTATTGGAACAACGAATTAGATTTGTTTTACAAATGATCAACTAGAAGTAATACTTTACTTAAAGCTCGTTGTTATTTAAAGCACGGAATTGGCTGATGGTCATATGCTAACCACATCAGAATCTTTTTTTATCATTTTGTTTAAAGTCCGTGTGTAAATTGTTTTATAACTCTTTCTTGTTTCAGAATATGAGACAGAACTGGTAAAAAAAAGAAATTATGCTGTTGTGATGAAATGTGTATTTATTTAATGGACTACAGTAAAGCACTTGAGAGTACCTACTTAAGGAAAGATTGTATTCTTGGAAGATGTTCTAAGCCAATTGTAATGTAAAAGGAAGGAAAAAAATAGTAATAAAAAGTGTTTTTTAAAGGTTTCTGATTGTGTTATTTTTTAATTTACGAATTTTTTATAATTTGGAGTTTGTTTATATACTTCATCCAAAATAAACCTAAGCTTTCTGATTGTGTCATTTTTTTAATTTACGAATTTTTTATAATTTGGAATTTGTTTATATACTTCATCCAAAATAAACCTGTTTTAAGAACACGATTTTACTTGATCTAAATGTGTAAAATAACAAAGCGAAATTCTAAATGAAATGCGTTTACCAATGGCGTACCTTAAAAGTTAAATTTTGGGAAAAAGGTGGGCATTCATGATTGCTGTAGACTGTAACTACGAAATAACAAAACTAATTTCTTTTGAAATTCATCTTTCATTTATTTATCATATAACTGCTCAGTTATCAGCCTTTAAAAGAGAAGCGAACATCAATCTATCAAAACATTAGTATCAAGAAAGAAAATTATATTGCCGCATGCACGTTACAGAATTCTTTATTAGACAACAATGAAGAAGATAAAGGTTTCCGCTTGACAGACTATGATTTTCCAATATCCCACCCGACGTTAAAATACTAATTTCAAAACTAATATACATAATTTTAGACTTTCAAGTTAGAAACATAACAGTTCTAAGCAACTAAAGGTAATATATCAGTTCACCAAACAAACAGATTGAATTTTATAGTAGAAGAAACGTGCAACAGTAATACAACGAATTATAATCCAATTTCACAACCTCAGTCTATAAATTATTTCTCCCTCTTTCCTAGCGTGCCTTCGTGGTGTAGTGGTTCTGCACGCTGGGTCGGTATTCCAGAGGTTCGTGGTTCGATTCCCGGCGAAGGCGTTTGCTAATTTTTCATCTCTCCGGCTTTGCCAAAAAAATACCTAATGCCTCTATAGTGGCTCCCGAACTAAACGAGTTGTGGATGATGATTTTCCACACCCAGGATTTGGCGATTAGGTCCCCTAGAAACCCAGTAGCCCTTTAAAAGGGGGAGTATATAAGATATTTCTCACGCCTTCCTAGCGTGCCTTCGTGGTTTAGTGGTTCACGTTGGGCAGGTATTCCAGAGGTCCGTGGTTTGATTCCCGGCGAAGGCGTTTGCTAATTTTTCATCTCTCTGGCTTCGCCAAAAAATACCTAATGTCTCTACAAGTCTTTCGTAGGCAGAAAGCATATATTAGATAGACCCCATTTTATCAGTCCTTGAGGGGTTTGGGCAACAATAACACGGATTTTACCTTTGCTTCCATATATGGTATCATAGATACCGCCTACTATCCAAGTTTTCAGAGATACTTGATCTTTTTTTAACTTAGACAAGAGTACCTATTTTTATACTGTCCTTTGTCTCTGCTGGAGGTTTTTTAGATAATATTTGGACCATTTTTTCCATATTATTTGGTAAACTTTGACAATTTTCTGCCAGTGGGAATGTCTATTAACAAAGACAGTATTTAAATCTATTAACAAAGACTTAAATAGTAGTCCTTTTTACTTGCCAGTGGGAATGTAACAAAGGTCTACTATTTAAGATACCATCAGTTTTATTTATGACAGTGAAAAATTCTTCGAGAATTAATTTTGCGTTTCTGTAAGTTCATTTTAGATGATGTTTAAATGATTTCCGTCCTGCCTCATAGATGCCACCGAAATTGGGAGATCGAAGTGGATTGAATTTACAAACGATGGATTCAGAAGCTAAATATGTAGAAAGGCTCGGCAAACTTTTGACAAGGTTTAACAACCTTTTCATGTCGAATTTGGTTCCGAGATCGTTATCCATATATATAGCCCAACTAAGTGCGCTTCACGCGAAAGATCTTTCTTATGCTGCAATTAGAGCTAAGCAATGTTAGATCTGTAACAAGTTATTAGTTGTATCTCTCGAGTAACTAAGCGCACAAAAATGACAACGTATATCTTATTTAAGGTACCTCTTCGTTGGCTTTTATATTTTATGTAAAAGGGTCTGCATACATCATTACCAGTTACAGAAAAGGGTAAACTCAACGAAACTCTTCCTTTCGGCAACGGTGCCATAAGTTGTTGGGTTATTTTGAGTTTATTTATATAACAGGTGATGCAGTTATGTACCAATTGTTTCTGCTATTTAATGGCCAAAATTCCTGTCAAACACTATGAAGCAAAGTTTGAGCATCAACATGTAAATTTTTTATGTGAAAGTTTTGCATAACTAAAGTAGTTAATTTATTATTCCTGGGAAGCAGAAATTTTACTGGAAGGATGCTTTGGTCATAAGACAAGGATAATTTATTTAATTTGCTACCCACCCTAAGTGTTTCATTTTCATTAAGGAAAGGATTTAAATCACCTAAGTGACTACCCTTAAGATTTTTACCACATCTTATTGCTTGAATTTCTCTTTTAAATACTGTTTCCTATGCTAGTTTCAGAGTGGATAGCTTGGCATACGTACATTATTCTCTGGTAATTAGTACCTGATGACCTCTTATCTTACTGACTCCTGGAAATAAAGCCATAAATGAAAACTAAGAATATGAATTAGTTTTACAAAATTGATACTTAAAGAAAGAAAACGGTTAAATCAACACTAAAAGTGGTATTAAGAGAAATTTTCGGACATCATTTTAATTGATATTCGTGACGTTCATAGTCTTTATCATCCAAATTAGTCTTTTGTATAAACTGACGTCAAGATTAGCAGATCCATTGAACCATCGTTTCGGAGATAAAAGTTCGCTAGGCTGGACGAGAAACCATATCAGTAGGATCCTTCTCAGAAGGGATAATATTTCCAAGAAGTTTTCTGATAAAGCCTGAATTTTCGCAACACGATGTCCAACGAACGTCTTCAGCTGATGTGAGGAAGTGTTTATCCATGCTAATGCTATTGTCGAATTAGAATATAATGTTATCTTTTCAATGTCTAAATTTAAAGATATCAGAACGCTTTTAACAAGCTTAGCAAGTAGAAAAGCAGGGGAAAGTTCCAAACGTGGCAACAATAGAGACTTTAAAGGGCCTGCTTGAGATTTGCTTCCTAGTAACTTTAAACAAGAGCTATGTTGGATGGGTTTTAGGTAAGCCACCGCTCTGAAGCATCAATGAAACCTACGACAGCCTTTTTATCTGTTATAGAATGCAAAGCATATCTTTCTGTCTTATTGTTTTCTAAGTCTTTTAACTTTGATGCAAAATGATTCCATTCACTGGAAAATGGTTCAAATAATTCATCATCGCAGTACAATTTTAGAAACCACAGTTTCTGAAGGAATATTTTAACTTTGCAAATGATTCGCCCGATAAAACAAATAGTATCCTGCAGCCAAGCAATTATTGAAAGGACATCTCTTTTCCTTAAAAGATGATTTGTCTTTGAAACCAACTTTAAAGTAAAGATTGCGGATTCCGGTTGCCAAATTATACCACGATGTGGAATCAAAGTAAATTCAGTGGAATCAAAGTTAAGATCTTCTTTAGATACTGAAACGTTTTGGAACAACTTTTGGGAAAGATACCGCTAACTACAAAAATGCTTTTTTACTTGCTAATTTGTTTAAATATGAAAAAGTACACAAGGGAGCTATCTACCTAAGGAAAGGCATGCCAACGTGGAAGGTGCTCTAAGTGAAACTAGTTTATATTTAGAAAACTAGGAAACTTTCCATGTAACAAGCCTGCTCACCATGATTCGAACCCTGGCCGACTATCAATGCTCAGTGTCTTTAAAAACTCTGCCTTTGGTGGAGAGCTTAGTAAGGCATAGTGATTCATCAGTAAAGTAACACCCAAAGAGGTTATTATCGTATTATTAGGAGAAGTATTTTTAATTTTATGGACTAATTCAAGGATTATCTGTCAATGAAGGAATTCCTTTGCAGAAGCGAGTTTAAGTTATTGCAAGTTTAGAATTTAAGTTAATACGTTTCAAAATATCCTAATACAGCTAGCCGCCGAATTCAGGACGAACTGACAGTATTTAACGGCTTTAACCTCTCGGCTTAACAACTTTTGGAAAAGATACTTTCTCTTCTAAATTCGTGGATCATCAAATAAGGCTATTGGAATATGACAAAGCAAACCAAGGCTATCTGCCTAAAGGGAGGTATGCAGGTATGCCTTTGTGGAGAACTTTCTGAAAGAAACCAGGTACCATTTATATTACATACGAAGAAAACCATGAAAACCAATAACGCTGCCAGCCATAGATCGAAACGACCGTGAACCATCAGACATCTCTGTCAAACCATATATATGCTTATAAGATCAATATTTTTCTCACTTACTGCTTTAATAGTATAAAATGTTTTAATAGAAACATAACAGATTAGATATACACCATAGTCCAAAAAACAGTTCTATATCTTCCTTACTGCTTAACCAATGGAAGAAATTCAACTTACTTTTTTCAGTCTCGAAAGCGAGACTTGGCATATATTGTATTTATTATTATGTAAAAATTAACTTTCGCCAATAAACATTTATTTAAAACACTCGCCATTACCGTTTGCTATTTCAATTTGATGTTAACCGTTCTTTAGTTCTTCAGCATTTCAGGCCTTCATAGCAGATATGGACTGGTGTGAATGTAAACCAAGATTTCATTCAATTGAGTATCCATAAGAATATATCATTTAAAAGCAAAAAACATTAAAACATTTCATTAACAAACACTCAAAAACATTAAACTTTTTATTTCACTTTAGAAATCACAGTTGCGTGCACTTGACGCTCACAAACTACGCCGACCCGGCGGTTGAACAAAATAGACAAAAATGCAACTAAAAATAAATGCAGGATGAACATCTTTGACACTAGTCTGGTTTGGTGTGTCTCCTATGACGTAATGAACAACTCAGTATTAAAATTTTGCAAGCGCACTGTGTGTGTTGAATTAAATGAAGATAAAAATTATATTTTTAGTCATAATCTATGTTAATTTTGCACAATAACCAATATTATATGAATACCATTCTCGGAAACTTTGTGCATATCATTTCAATCATAAACTTTGCTGAATTCATTATTTTCAGAGTTAGA